CTAAGTACTTGGTCAGCATAAGAAGAATCAAATTTCTTAAAAATTAACTCAACAGAACTAGTAGACAATGTCCCCATAGCATATCACTATCAGTATACATTAACTCTGCACAACGAATTACAAAAGTTCTCTTTGATAATACCAGGTATTACAACAGTACTTTTAAAATCACCAAACTTAAGTGAGTTACTTGCACCTCTACACGTATGTGTGTAATCAACAAACATAAGTCAAAATAAATCTCTCCTGACTGTTATCTGATGATAGATAGAAAATGCTGGGTTCTTACATTCATATCACACTCAATAATAGATACTGCCCTGTCTGGTTTGGTCTCCAGCACCAACAAATCATAATTCTGTAAACAGAAATTATAGCATTAATAAAAACATTTTCTCCATAAATACATTACCAGTGTTTCATTACGACATATTATTATCCTTCACCATGTTCACAATAATAAAGTCACTCTTATTGGATGAGGAGACAATTCATGGTGTCTCCCTCACACATGGGGTAGACAACTGTGTTGTCTCTCTTCAGATGACAATAAATTAGCACTAGTGAGTGTGCAGGGTGACAACTGTGTTGTCCCCCTTTAGACGAAAAAAATGTTGTGAGATAACTTTGATATAATTAATAATTATATATTCGGGGACATATTTTGAAAGGATGGAATCAGAGCGGTGGCCTGGTGGATAAGAGAACAAGAGGTTAACCTGTAATTTGATACTTTTATTAAATTAATATTCTTTGGGATAATAAAACTATTATGGACTGTTTAGTAGGGAGACATCACAATTATTGGGTTTGAGTGGGTTGTCACTTCCCGGTACAAACGTCCTCGGGTGACAACCCTATTCAGACCTGATAATTTGTGATGTCTCCCTACTAAGTAGTCCATCATTGTATTATTAATATAAGCTTGCAAATTTTTATAGGATGAATACATACCCTTTCATTGTATTTTATAGAAATTATATCATCTGTTGTCAAGCAGGCAAAACTCCGAAGCATATTTTCCAATCTAAACAATGCTAAGGAATTTATGTAAAAACAACTTGTATTGAAAAAAATAGTTTGGCAAGTTCTCCATCAACAGCAAAAACACCAAAAGTTTTTATAATTATGTTTAAATATAGCAGACATCTTATATTCAAAAGATACACAGCTTTAGGGTTAGTGATGTCAAGAAAGTCCACAGATTGTGGCTGAAATCTGGCGAACGTGGCAACTTTGAGTGATACATTTTCCACCTGAATCAAGTCTCCTTCTGTTAATAACAAGTTTGTCATCATCTGAAAGACAAAATTGATGAATATTATTGAAGTTTGACAGTATTCAGACAAAATTTTGAAATACAGTTGAAATACAGTTGTAAAAACAACTACAATATAGAATGGCTCTTGGTGTATGCAAAAAACAAATACATTTTCATAAAATGGACAGCAGGAAGAAATTGTAAGTGTAAATCTGCATGCACAGCATTTTTTGCAACAAAGCCTACAATATGTTGCAAGAGAATATTTTGCTTACAAAGTTCTATATTTTGAATCATTTTTGTGTGTTATAACAAATATTAAGTAAAGGATGTACATCTACCCTTAATGGTCAATCATCTCAGTTTCATGATTTATTGAGCAGTGTGTACATGATAAATCAAACAAATCAATGTACAAAACCAAAGAAAAATTTTCCAATCAATTTTTTGAATATACTCATGCAATTCATCATTTACAAGAAAATATTTTCATTTGTGGTATTTCTGTTACCTTTTGGCTTCACATAACTTGATCATGAGACCAACCAAGTTCATTTCCCAGTAAATGTCAACTTTTTAACCGTGCTATTTATTTTTTTTTTAAATTACTACCCTTGATTTATGCTTAAATTATACATTGTACAGTACTATGAAGAAGAAAAAGAAAATAATTGAAAATGAATCAAATACACTAGTAAAAGGTCTTCTGCAGGAAGAATACATGTATATCTTCAAAATTGTTCATTAAAGGACTAAGAGAATGCCTTTTTTTTATACAAACCCAGTAAGGAATGTAAATTCTTCCCTCATCAGCTACAAACTCTAGTACACCACAGTGAGTTTCTCGGTTCTTTTTCTTGTTGGTCAGCTTAAACAGCATTGGATACTGAATGTGTAATCGAGCTGCAAGTGAATTAATAATTGTTAAAGTTAACAACTAATTAAGTATCATTTCAGAAGGTAGTTATGTATGCACTGAATGAAAGTTTTATTGATTCATACATGTAAATCTATACAATGAAATTATTTCATAGCCCCCCCCCCCCCCCCCATAACTTATAAAAAGAAGTGTATGATTTGCTCCGTACTACGGAAGCCGGTAGGTGCCAGGTAGAAAAATATTTTATCTGGCAGCCGCTAAATAAGTTTCTGGGGGCCACCAAAAAACTTTCTTGCGGCCGCCAGATAAATATTTGGCTGCCGCCAGATAACTTTATGGCGGCTGCAAGATAACTTATCTGGCGGCCGCCACATAATTTCTGGCAGTCACCAGATAACTTTCTGGTGGCCGCTAGATAAGTTATCTGGCGGCCGCCAGTTATTTATGTGGCGGACGCCAGATAAAATATTCTTTCTACCTGGCACCAACCAGCTTCCGTACCAATCAATATCATCTTTTACTTTATTTCATAAAATTGTTTTACATTTGAATACTGGGACTACGAAACACAAGCTAATTTGGTGAGATTTTGAGACAGTCTGCCATATACATGATATATGAAGCTCAGAAACACCTTAATCATTATTGAAATTAATTCCAATAGTCAACAGGAATGAGCATTACTTTCTGGTAATTATTTTAAAGCAAAAAGTTTATTTTACGAGCACAGTGAGTTGACTCTTAATCTTAAGAATTATTGAAGATAGCACTGTTCATTAAAGAAATGGTACATAATCTATATTATAGAATACTTACTTAGTTGATCTAGTGCTGATGGAGGCATGATTACTGAAAATGTAAAAAACTTAATTTTATAAATTCATATTTGTGAAAAAGTAAATTAACAGCAGCAAAAACATTATGGTTGTAGAATATTGTAATTAAACAAAAGGACATTACAAAACAGATTAGGCCAAATAAAAATATGTGTGTGTTTCCAGTAACATGCCAAAAAAAAAATTAGGGTAGGTAGGTGATAACTTTTTAAACTTACTTTTTATTTTGACACCATCAGTTAGTTATTCAATACACTGTTTTTTGTCATATATACAAACACATACAGTGATAACATACACAACAAAACAATACTCCTTAAAACACTTGAATAGACACATATTTACAGTGTCTGAGACATGCATTTTATTACCAGAACTATGAGAAAACTGTACTAGTGAACAAAAGTACAGTTCAAAATCTGGATTTGGAACAAAAAGCAATAGGGTCAGTGGGTAAAAATTAAGGTCGGTTGGGTTACCAGAAACACACACATCTTTTTTTAGCCTTAAGCATAGCACTGTGCCCTGTATGATCAATGTTATTTCTCTACATCACAAGAAAACAGAAGTAAATCCAGGGTATCAAATATCTGGGTGGAGAGATGGAAGGGGCAGTAAATATTTGTTGGAAAAAAATCATAACCCCTCTAACCCCAATTTCATCAAAAATTGGAGTAGCCCAATTTAGATGGAAAGTATTGGGTAACATTTGACATTAAATTTTTTTTCTGTTTTTGAGATACAAACTTTTTCCTCCTCGTTCCACATCATCTCTTTCTCCAAGCATGGTGACAGAATAACATCGGTATGTCTGGTTAAAACTCCTTCCCATCTCTGGGAACATCTGACCAAAACCAAACTGCAACACACATATTAAACTGAATATACACAATTTCCACATTATTAGTTCCATGTCCAAACACTATAATATTATCTCCTACATACACTCACTGAAAATAACAAACTCTATATATAAGAAGTCAACTTCTAAAAATCAGCCATACGTGTACAAAAAAGTTGTTCACTGATATTTCCACTAAAAGTTGCTAAATAGGTTCTGAAAGAGTATTTCGATAATCATGGGCATGTGTTTCTGTTCTTAATACTTGAAATATCTTGCTCCCTTAGGAGCAATCAAAAATTGCACTAGTGGCCATGTTTCAGGCCCCTGTGCGGGGTATTGGGTATAGTTTTCAACTAGCAATAACCACGCCTCGGATAAACCTCATTGGCTATGGTACTGCCACTGCGCAAGTATGATGTAAAGCACTACTAGGAAGGACTAAGTAGTATAAGAACTGTAGTGTTGTTGTAGTGTTTACCCAACAAAAATTTAAAAGATTCATTTCAAACAATTCAGAAATTAAATTAAGAAGTTAATTTTATAACATACATATACTTCAGTTTGAATTTTAATATTACAGACCAGTATCACTTACTTTCATAATAGATAAATATTTTTTTCCAACAAAAAAAATTAATTTGTTTAGTCTGTTCTCAACGTTTATGATACGTGCCTGAGGGAGGTAATCGATCCGAGGTAAACACTGGTAAACGTATAATGCAATTACGCCAAGTAGAAATTTTTTCATCAAGTGCTTGCAAGCTTAACTGCCGAATCAACATTTTTATTTTCTTTGGCATTATACTGATTTATCAAATTTTGCAATCAATTTGAAACATATCGAGAAAAAAAATCAGACAATGATACATATGTTACAAAATATTCATGAACAGCCAGATGTATGGGTGATTAAATACTTGTAGTGTCTACATTACTGGTGATTTGCCTATAAAGCTCAGAATTCCGCTTACCATACTGAAGATTTCTGATAACTAACTTCGCAAATCCTTGTAATCAAGTCATCTACTGAAAAAAGAGAATGACAAACAAAAACAAACAGAAAGTTTACACATGCGTAGTCTTACTTTCTTTTCTAGATTTTCGATATTACGATCCCGATGTTATTACATGTAATACTTATATGTAAAGCATGTTTTCATTGGTTAAGTTTGTTGGATATTGACCAATGGGAAAATTCATTCGGAACTCCTTGTCGAATATTACGCGCCAAAAAATAAAGTTTGAGTTGGTAAACAATGACACAAGATGTTCCTCAAAGATATCAAATCGGGTTTTTATGATGCTGTTAGGCACCAGGTAGGTAGTGATGTATTACGTGAAAAAAAAATATTTTTGATTTTTTAAACTCTTTGTCGTTCAATACGTCAGGAATAATAATATTATTTAGGAATTGATCAACAGTTATTGGCATCTGACATGACATGATATTGCTCGCTCCATGTGTTCTTTTTTAAACTTAAAATTAATATTATACTGTTTATACAAGCAAACTTACTGGCCACTCTTTTATCAAAGAAATACAAGAATATGATGTTGTGATATTAGCAGAGACTCACATTGGATATAATACTCCTGTGCTTATTGAAAAATTTAACTTTTTTATTGTGTGTAGAGATATATCATCAAATGGAAGGTATTACGGGGGTCTGGCAATTTTAAGAAAAAAAGAATTAAAGGATCATATCAAAATATTACCCACTGAATGTAAAGATTATCAGTGGTTAAAATTTGACAAAAAATACTTCCACCTACAATCAGACCTATACTTGTGTGCTTTGTATTTTCCCCCTGCAAACTCATCATACACTAAGCATTTACATTATGACATTCTTGAATTAATTGAAAAAGATCTTTTGAATTACAAAGAAAAAGGCGATATCATGATATGTGGTGATTTTAATGCTCGAACTGCCACAGAGTTAGATGTTATAACTGACGATACTTCTAAATACCTTCCTTTGTTTGATTCATATAAGATAGATAATACCACCAGGGTAAGGCAGAATCATGATACTGTATTAGATGCAAGAGGGAGGGATTTGCTTGAATTCTGTATAGAGAATCAATTGCACATTATGAATGGAAGGTGCATGGGAGATATTTTTGGACATTATACATGTTTCAATCCTTTAGGTCAGAGTACAGTAGACTATTTACTAGCATCTGAGAAAATTACAAATCAAATACTGTATTTTAAAGTGTCTGACTTCATCCTCATCCTATCAGACTGTCATTGTAAGATATCATGGGAAATATTAGCTAAATTTCAACACTCATTTCCTCCAAGATCAGAAGAAGTAATGCATAAAGCCCCCATCAATTATACCTGGACAGAAGAGTCTGATATAAAATTTCAAGAAGTTCTCAATTCACCTGAATTTCAAGCAAAAATTAATAACTTCCTAAACAATTCAGACACAAGTACAAAGGATAAAATATCTGGGGTAATTTCTAAATTTGAGAGTATAATTTTATCAGCAGCTGACTTGTCTCTAAAAAAGCCAAAATATAAGGCTAAAAATAACAAAAATAAAAACAAAAAATGGTTTGATGATGACCTTAGTAAAATGCAAGCAAAAGTTGTTGCGGAGGGTAAACTTTATTCTAAATTCCCCAAGGACCCCAAGGACCCAGTCATCAGAGGACATTATTATAAGTTATATAGGGAGTACAACAAACTAAGGAAAACAAAATATAGGAAATTTAGAAATGATATTATCAATAAACTAGACTCTCTACGCATAAATGACCCCAAACAATACTGGAAACTAGTAAACGATTTAAGGGCAGAAAAAGTAGACCCCGCTAACAATCCAGTTGAACCTAATAAATGGATAAATCATTTTAAATCTTTACATACTACATTTGATAAAAATTTTGAAAATAGATTTAAAAAATTAGACTCTTTACGAATAGAAAAACTTGAATCATACAACATCTTTAATAAGCTAGACAACAGAATAACTGTAAAAGAAATTTCATCGGCTATTGCTTCATTGAAATATAAAAAAGCAAAAGGACTAGATCTGATATCAAATGAAATGCTGAAAAGTGGGCATACAATAATATTACCCTGTTTGCTGAAATTATTTAACTTATGCTTTTCATATGGTCATTACCCACAGACATGGGCAAAAGGATATATTACCCCTATATTTAAATCAAATGATCCCTGTGATCCAAATAATTACCGTGGAATAACAATAACAAGTAATCTTGGTAAACTCTTTAATAATATTTTAAATACCAGATTAGATAACTTTTTAAGGGAGAACAATTTAATACACCCTTGTCAGGCAGGATTCACAAAACATGCCAGAACTTCCGATCATTGTTTTATTGTTAAATGTCTTATCGATAAATATTGTAACACAAAAGAAGGAAGACTTTATGCCTGTTTTGTAGATTTTCATAAGGCATTTGACAGTGTTATTCATAATGGTTTGAAATTGAAACTACTGCAATACAATGTTGGAAATAAATTTTATAACATTGTAAATGATATGTACATGAAAAGTGAAGCATGTGTCAAGTATGGAAATCTTCTTACTTCTTCATTTCCTATCAAATTAGGTGTACGTCAGGGAGATAATTTGAGTCCAACTTTATTTAAAATGTTTATAAATGATTTGCCATCATATTTACAAGGCTGTATAGACTCTGTCCTGTTACACTCAAAAAGTATAGACTGTTTGATGTATGCAGATGATATAGTAATTTCCTTATTCACTGTAGCAAATTTACAAAGGAAAGAGAAGACCTATTTAATCTGATCTCATCTAAAGTAAAACATTTTACAGATTTGCCTGATAAACAAAAATTATTCTGGATTCTAAATTGTGAAGAACTAGATATGCTAAACTCTCTTGGAAGATTTTTACAAAAAACATTACCATAAATTTTAGGAAAGTAACATTTTTTTTTTATTATTATTATTATTAATTATGTAAAAGTATGATGGTTTAGTAATGTATGCATATATATATGATGTACTGTATATATACCTATAAAACAAGTCTTATGTTCATATAAAATATTTTGGGTATTCCCCTACTTGTATGTCTTTTCTATCAATCAAGCAATTCTCTCCCTCTTATGTGTATGTATATTGTATTTCGTGTGTATGATCATAATCATTATATACATTTTAACAATGTACATTCTTTTTGCCCCATGAGGGCCCTTAATTGGTCAATAAACGAATTGAATTGAATTGTTTAATAATTTATTAAATAAATCCTATTGCATTCTATATTTTTGGCGGTAATCAAAGGAAGTAATATGTTACAAGTCATTTAAAGTATCGGATGGATGTTCCATGTTAAAAAGGTTACAGCACAAAAATCATTGAAAAATGAAAGTAGAAAATTTCTGACGGACTGTTTATGTAGGCGATGTTCAAATTTATATCATGAAGCAGCATAAAAATTTGTAATGAAACTTGTCTAATCCGACATGCACTGGGAGACAATTTTATGTCAGAATAGACAGGGTGTCGGATTGTAAAAGAATAGAGAAAACAGTAAAAATTCTTGGACTTCACAGTGAAACAGATTGCTCGGGTGTCAGATTAGGCAATATACACTGTATAATTCTTATATTTTATCATTTAAAGCGAGTTTTGGTACTGGTGGCCTTTGATGTAGATGCTCTTTGTGCGTGTAAAATTTTACAGGTAAGCACAGTATTCAAAAGATACTTCTATAAACTCTTACATAAAAGAGATAAATTATAAAAAAAAAAAAAATTCCAAATTAATGTTGATTTCCAGTTTCCATTTTATCCTTTTATCTGCCATGACTTTTAGATTCATTGTTTTGACTTACTTGTGCTGTTTTCTAGTGTTTATTCCAGTCCGATCAGATTCTTTACACCATTGTCCCAGTGACAGGAAAAGAAAACTTACAGCAAGCTTATATAGAAAACTCAGAAGGGGTTTGTCTACATCCAGTTATAACTTAAAATTCATAGCAGCAGTACACTGCAATTTACATTGTATATAAAAGGAGAAAAATGTTTGTTTTACAGAAATGATTATGTTTTGATGGTTTGTAATGTAATTCTTTAGATTTTTTGTTTTGTTGGTGATTTTAAGCTAATGTTGAGGATCCTCTGTAGGTGCGACATGTGTTGATGATAAATTGTGGTGCCTCTATTGATGTGGTAGATGTTCTACAACCAGAAGATTGTGTCTGTTTCTATATTTGTGACAGGTAAAAGACTTCAAATCATGTCGAGACTGTAACATTTTAGTCCTTGATTGCCAACTACTCAAAGTAGTACCACTAATTTAGTATATGTATTCTGGTCTTGAAAATCATAGTCTTACATGTATGTTAGGGCTGGAAATGAGGAGTGTTATACTGTATAAGTGGAATTTTTAGCGAGACGCAAATTTAGCAATTTGTCCTTAAAAATCAGTATTCAATTTTAGCGAGAAGTAATTTTAGCGATTTTATGGTGCATAGCAAGATAACGATAACTTCTGATGTGGAATAAATTATTAGCGATATTAAATTTTAGCGATCTCAACACCCTTGCTAAAAATGCCAAAATTGAATCCTCACTAAAATTTCTGCCTATATGGTATTATTTAAAAAAATCAAAACAACTGATTTACAATGTCCAAGGCAATAAATTAAAGACACAAAACAAATACCATTTTCCATGTTTCTTTTTGTTGGATTACAGAACATGTTTCATTTCCCTATATTGTTTAGCCACAGACCAGTAGATGTACACAATGTGTTCAATGCAGTTCAAGTCAAGCTACTGATGAAGGAGGATGATTTTGATGACAACCCAATTCCAGAATATGACACAGTCTTCAGAGAAGAGCAGGTAATAGGAAAAGCAGGGCTAGACAAATAGCATTGCCCGATGCCCGGGACAACCAATTTCGTTTGGTGGGCAAGTTATTTGATAACTGGTACCTGCCTGCGGACAAGTGTTTTTCCAGTTAACAAAAAATCATATACTCAAATGCTGTTTTGTTTTAGCGCTGTTAAAATATAATGAATCACAGCAGAATATCTATTTTTGATGCAGTTGACCACTACATTGAACACTCGGTAGGAACTCCTCTAGAATTGCCCATTCATGTCTTGGTAAAATATACATCAGAAGTAGAACACGGCAGGTATCAATGTCATGTCAAAAAAGTTGAAGTCGTGAAGTTGAACCCTTAATCGACATTCAGGAGTGTTTTAATGTAGATACAGGTGTATTTTCATTTAAAAAATACATGGAAGTGTATAAGTACATGTTTATGTATATACATTGACATGTACATGTATTTAAAATTTTAAGTTTAATAATCAGTGCACAGTACAGATGCTAGGAAGTCTCCCTAGAATCAGAAATTTCCCCCTTAATTTCTCCGTGGGAGAGTTAGTGATTTTGGGTCAGGGTTGGTCCTAAATGTTAATGATAATGTTTTAGTTTTGTGTTATTTAAGAAAAAGGTGGGGCAAGCATTTTTTTGGTAGGACAAGTAATTTTACGATGGTAACCTGTCTGAGGGCAAGTACTGACAAATTCTATTTGTCTACCCCTGGGAAAAGCATCTCATTCTGTTATACATGTGGAGATAAATGTATGGAAACCAAACTGACATCTATCAGAAATGTCTTGAGCATAAAAAAAATGTACATTTTATACTAATTATATCTTTCTTTAAAAAAGTTGAGCTAGAAATACTCCTACTGCGAAAACATCCAAAACCAATGCCTATAGCAAATGAGCTTACATGTCTACCACTTGTAACAAGTAATTAAGTATTATGAAGTGAACATTTTTATTGGCAGATTCATGTAGTAAATAAGTTTACAGGGTTTAGTAAGATTAATGTCAGGAAAGTTAAATTTTGATTAAGATCCAGCATTCCACTACTTAATGACTATTAAAGTAATGAATTTATTCCCACCAATGTACAACAATTTAACTTGGTGAAATTAATTCACACATACAGATCAGTGTAAATCCACAATTTAAATCTATTTTTAAATATCACTATAACATTGTATATTACATGTACATGCACAGCACTGATTTGAGTACAAATATGAGTCAGTCAGTCAGAGGCATGCACATAAAGCATGATTTGGATGTAATGTCAGAAATAATTTTGACTGTTGATTTGCTTTATCCTTGTATTTCTGTTTTGTACAGATAGAGGTATAAGCAATCATATTAAAATTGAAAGCTTGATTTAAATACATGTGTGTAAGTCTGGAAATAATTTTATTTATTTATTTTGTACTGTTTTGAAATGCATTATAATATCCATTATCAACATATTTTATATTACTTAATTTACTTTATTCACCAACAATATTGCACATTTATCTTGCAAATGCATGAATAGATCTATACATATTGCATAATATATATGTATAAAAATTATGAGTTTTGCCTTTGTCATGGGATGTGAACACAATTGTCAGGTACATCAAAATGAAAATATCACATGAAGTCCTTGATGAATATCAGTTCTACATGTATATCATACAGTTGTATGATACAGTTTACTTGTAATTTTATATTAAACTTTAACAGTTACTATTTCAGTAAATCTGAGTCAATGTCAGCTGTATTTTCAGTAAGTCTAGTTGTGTTAACTTCAGGAAGTTTGAATGATTTCACAGTATTTCCTGTCATTTGAGTCGATCTTTCTTATCACTGATTGGATACTGAGCCAGGAACACTAAAGCAATCACCACAGCAATAATGGGGCCTGGGATCATAAGATACCTCAGGGCGTGTCCCACACTGGGGGGTTGTTCACAGTCCCCAACTTTGTATCCACCATATCTGAAATGAGAAAAAAATTATACTCACATAATCATTTTATTTTATCTATGCAACATACAGGTGACTCTCGATCTCTCGAAGTTCAAGGGACCGCAAGAAAAGTTCGAGAGATTGAAGGGTTCGAGAGATAGAAAGTGAATAAAATTCGGAATTTTCAGTTTCGATCATCATTGTTCTACTATTATAATACCGGAAGTATATGTTGATAATATCATAGCACATTTTCATTCGTATTTTACAGGTAATTCACTTGATTTCAACAGCAATGATCGTATTTTGAATAAATAAAACAATCTCTTTAAGTATCACTATTTATTTGTTCTCATTTCATGATTACATGAAACCTGAATAGCAATCGTCGGTGTGTCTACCCCACGGCGCCGGGCTTGATCGGGTCCTTCACTAGAATTCTCGTATTAAATCGGTAATCAATTCTTGTGCAAAGTTTGTCATACTGGGATTATTTAGACTCTAATAAAGCTTCATAATCTATGGAATATTATTGACGTCTCTTAAATTATTTTCTAAAAATGATCGTGTCGTTGTCAAGTCAAAATATGTTGCGAAACAATTTGTTTATAATTTAGCAATTATAACCAATAAAGAATTAATTATATCAACACTCAGATCCTTACAGGTAAAGTGTCATCTATGTAAACACCCAATTAACACCTCCATGCCAGCCCCAGGCGTTCACTGTTATCCAGGTAGGTCCAAGCTGCATTAATTTTACGCTTGATTGGCGTGTACACAGGTGCAATCAGAACTTCGAGAGATAGAGAGTAAAAAACAATGAAATGTGTGTAACGGGACTCAGGTCTTGGTTCGAGAGATAGAGAACTTCGAGAGATCGGAAGTTGGAGAGATCGGAAGTAAATTTGCTTAGTTATATAGAGGAAAAAAACATGACTGGAGGTTCACTTCAAGAGATTGAGAACTTCGAGAGATCGGAGTTCGAGCCATCGAGAGTCACCTGTAGTTGATTCACACTACAAGTTAAATATAGGAAATTAAGGAACCAAAATTAAAGAAGCAGACTTAAATACTTTTAAACTTGTTCTCAATCTATAGAAGTTAAAAAGTACTGTGCAGCAAACTTACTTTAAAGCCAACTGAGAAGAAGCTACTGATAACCCTGTGGCCAGTTTGTTGAGGAAAACGTAAAAGGAGTAGAAAATGGCATCCTTGTGTTCTCCGTGTGTGAGATAAAACTCGTCTATGACATCAGGAAGCATGGACCTGGGAAAGAGATAAGAAAAGTTACGCAAGGAAAAAAATGATAACTTGATTGATAGTGGAAGGGAGATAACTCTGTATACCATGGTAGGAGAAGTGAGACTGCAATGCTCAGTCCAGCGAAAACCAAGATGATAGTGTAAACAAGAAAGCTGTCACGGAGGTAAAGCTGTGATAGCAATACAGGGATAAACATCTGGAAAGAGAAAAACATTGACCAGATGAAAATACTGTCAATCACTTTTTGTTCGTTAGAACTTTATTTTTGCGTATTTATGCGAGACTGTCTCCTCACGAAAATTTAATTCTTGCGTATATTTCTAGTACCTTGTACTAAAGATTATATAGAACAATATCTGAAGTTCATTAAAATTATGTCTCGCTAAAAAATACCAAATGGTCATCTCAGGAAAATAAGGTGTAGCAAAAATTTGGTAATTTATAGTAGTAATTAGTAACTTTATTTCATCTGAATATGTGGCATACACATAAAATTTCTATGTGCCAGATTTGCTGAGATGTGATGCCTTTTTTAAAGATCCACTCTCAAGATGCTTACCAACATTCCAGCAGCAAAAGTTCTCTTCTTGCCAATTTTCACTTGTATAAAATGCCAGACTGGTAGACTGCAGATGGTGGAGGCCTTTAAATATGTTTTAAAAGAAGTTTTTATTGTATGACTATAGGCTCATTGATTAAAACCTGTAAAAGGTGACACAATTATTTGTACATATATATACTTACCATGATGATGGTGATGAATGTGGAGAAATATTTGCCCATGCCAAGAGAATACGTACAAAACAGAGCCAAGTTTCCTTGAGTGATCTGGAAAAATGGTCAGTTGCTGGACTTGACCGATTGCAATTGTTTGTTTTTTTTTTAAGCAAGAAAATACTCCAAAATGCTTAAAACTACGTTCAAAATATTAAATGGGATAGAATGCTAATTGCAATACCATGGATATATGGATTAAGATGACAATTTAACAAACGTGTTTACGATGTGAGACTTCGAACTTGCAAGTATTTAGGCATTTAAATTGTTATAACGTTCTACAGAATTATAGGGTATACCTGGTATTTAAATAAGATATATCAATTTAAGCCTCTAAAAAGTACTCAGGTTCAGCAGTGAGTTTAAATATCTACCTACTGAGATTGCTACAGACAAAAATAAAACAGACATAGATAACTTCAGGTAGGGCCGGAAAAACAACACTTTCCGTAATCCTCTAAAGAAACCATCTCCCATCATCACTTGTTTGACTGAAAGAAAAAATATCTCAGTATTGATTTGTAAGAGATAAGTTTGAATAATGTTTATGCAAATTAATCTGTGATTTGGTTGTTTTAATCAACTTGCCTTTGTGTTCCTTTGTACCATAGAAACAAACAAGGATACAGGCAATGTAAAGACTAACTATAGTCACAGATGCATCATGGTATGAAGTTATCTGCAGAATTATACAAGTATAGAAAATTAGATATATGATTTCTAAATGAATCGTTTTCATTAAAGATGGTATTTTAAAAATTTTATTGCAATCTGAAACAGAAGAATGGTTGGTTTCAGTTGTTCAAAAAGACATGTTTTAAAAGGTGCACAAGCAGCATCATTGAGATATTTGTAGAATTGAGTGAGTACAGGATTGTAATTATTGGCATAATACCTGCTTTATTAAGTTGTTGTTTGTTGACATTGTAAAATTCATTGACCCAGATAATTTGTTGCATGCTCCAGCTGTTCTATGCTTTTTGATGTAATGACCTTGAATAATCACCCCAGTCATAA